GCAGACTAGAGCCTGATTCTCTTTCCTTATCCCTCTCTCTCTCTCTCTCTCTCTCTCTCTCTCTCTCTCTCTGCCCTTCTCCCCTGCCTGTCTCTGCTCTTTTTTCCTGGCAGTGCTGAGATCCACCCCAGGGCCTCCTGCAAGCCAGGCAAGTGCTCAGTGCTCTACCACCGGGTTCCCCCTCCAGTCCCCTCTGCTCCTCCTCCTTATCCTGCCCTCTTCTTCACCCCAATTAGTGGGGGCCCCCTCTCATCCCTGGGCCAAACCCAAGAGGAAACCAGACCAATCCCTGGTCACAAGCCCTGTGTGGCAGATCACGTGCCCCACCACGGGATGAGCCACTCTGCCTTAGATGTCACAAGTCCCATGGGAGGGCCTGCACTGCTCCCCTGGCCTTCAGATAGGACCACCCCAGGGAGCAGGGCAGCAGAGGCCAGTGTTGGGAATAGCCAGCAGGGAGCCCAGAGTGTCCCATCCACCCAGCAGCCTGCTCTCAGGTTCTCTCACACAGTCAGGCTCCCAGAACAAAAGATCCTGGAGAGAGAGGCCTGGTCTTACCCACCCCTGCTGCCATTCCCAGATGGCCCACTCAGCTGACATTAGTTGAAATATTCATTCAACATTTATATAAACGAGAGAACTGGCAGCAGCCCAGCCTCCTCTCGGTCAAGGCAGTAGGATTAGAATGAGGAAGAACCCTAGCTGCTAGTCGTGAGAACAGGAAGGTGTGTGTGCCTCCATTTTCTCACCTGTAAAATGGGCCCAACAAGAGTAATACTGGTCCCTACTTTGTAGATTGTTGTACGGAGTGAATTAGGTTCATGTACAGAGGGTTTGTCTCTAGAGCTTCAACGAAAGTCCACTGTTGGTGCTGGCACTGTTACTATGACCCAAAGCCACTCAGCTGTGCTAGCCTCAAACTGGCACTGTCTGCTCTGCCTCTGAATGGCACACCTGCCTGAGTGGGTCTCTATTATTGCTCCAGTGTGACTTTTAAGGTCTCACTCGCTCCATCCTAAAATTTCTTGCAATGATCTAGAGAACACCCCAAGATGAATTTTTGGAAATCTGATGGTCTCTGTCCTCTTGCTCTGATCTTTCTGGACCTCCTGAACTCGGAGCCTGAGGCCCTGGACCTACAGAGGCTTGCTGGTTTGAATAGATGGTGGCTGGGAGGCTACTCTGGCTCACAGTCCCCAAGCCAGAAGGAGCCTGGGTATCCCATCCCTGTGTTGCAGGCCCATCATCCTGGATCCGGCGGACCCCACCCACAATGTGGCAGAAGGGTACAGATGGGACTTAGTCGCTCAGAGGGCCAGACAGTGCCTGAAACAGGACTGTTGCTATGACAGCAGAGAGATCCCAGTCCCCACCTGGACTGTGAAGGTAATGGCTCCTCTTGAGTCCACCACAGGCCTGAAGCCTGTTGATCTATCTGCTTTTGTGCCGATGAAGAACAGCGCTTTACAATGAGACAGAGGGAAGCCCGGTGCACCGCCCACTGGTTCCATAAACCTAGGAAAATTCTTTGACTAAGATTCAGATTTCCGATCTTTAAATTCTCCTCCTTTTCTTTCTTTTCCCCCATAACCTACTGAAAAAAATCAGTTCCATGTCCCTGATCATTCCTTGCAGAAGCTGAGCTTGCCAAGTCAACTCAATCAGCTCTTAGGTTCCAAAATTGGAGCTGGGAGTGGGGGAGGGGCAGCATCAGGGATACAAAAATAAGACGTGGTCCCTAGCCTCAAAGAACTCCCCCGATGCTGTTCAGAAGCAAGTCCACTAAACAAACTGCACAAAACTGATGGAACAATTACCAGAGGAGACTGGATACTCAGAAAAAAGAAATTACTAAGTTATTATGCAGTAACAAACCTACAGTACAGGCAAAGATCATCATAATCTATTTAATCCACATATTATATTTTACAATTTGTATAGTGCTTATCCAGGAATTGTCTCAGTTGATCCTCATGGGCAATTCTAAAAAAAAAAATGGAAATTCAAACATTATCATTATCTCCATTATAATATAATAATAATATCACTATTGTTGCCATTTAACAGGTGAGGAAACTGAGGCTCAGAGAGGTTAAGTCAATTAATCAAGGTCACACTGCTCAGAGTCAGCAAAGTCAGGATTCACAGCCAGGACTTTGTAGAGCTCAAAAAAAAAAAAAAGGAAATATAAATGATTTTAAAGTTACCAGAGAAGATTCCTTGAAGGAACCAGGGCTTAAGGTGAACCCAAAAGACCTCACCTTGTGTCTTTGGATGCTCTGATATAGATGCTCAGAACAAAGGACACTCTAGATTGAGGGCTGGAGTGAGACTAAAGGATAAAGGACAGGATGTGGGAATGAGCAAGGTTCTGTGCAGGAACCCATCAGAGCAGAAGGCAGAAGCAAAAACAGAGGCTCTATAATAAGGCACAGAGGGCAAATCAGGGGTTCACCAACCACATGAGGCCTACAGGTATGCTGAAAATGATATGCCTCTGGGTTTTTCCTAAATATTAAAAAAAAATAATAATCGTGCACACATTTTTATCTGGAAAAATGAGAAGACTTTGCAGCGCTCGACCTAGATTCCTGCCCAGAACTGCGGGGCCCTTACTCCCTCTGGGACTAATATCCAGTGATCACTTAGCCCTGCTTAGCCACAATGGTTTCATCCCTAAAAACGGGGGAGATCCGACCTCCTAGGGCTGCAGTAAGAAGAAAACCGCATTCAGACTAGAGCAGGGGACGCCCAGCCCCTACTGCTGCTGGTTGGGTTGCTTTTGCAAAGAAAAAGGTGAAGGGAATTTTTGCACGTAGGGAAGCGTGAAGGTAACCCCTCTCCCTCTCTCCCCCTCTCCCCTCCCTCTCCCCCTCCCCTCCCTCTCCCCTCCCTCCCTCTCTCCTCTTCCCCCTCTCTCTCCCCTCTCTCCCTCTTTCCCCCTCTTAGTAAAAAGATAGGTTTTGTGAGAAATGATTCTCCATTCAAACCAGAATTCTAGATTTTATATCTAAGCCCTTAAACAG